TTCTGTAATCAATGCCAAACAATTAAAAAAGAAGAGAAGTAGAATTATCAAATGTGTGAAAAGTTTTTTCAATCTAAACAATGCTAAAAGCAATGTGTTATATTGGAACTTACACGTAAAACAATGTGTTTAAACTTTTTATAAAACGGTTTAAGGCAAAGGGTTTACCACTACTAGGGTGGTCCTACTCCGGCATGTCTGGTTCGAGCATTCAACAATGGTTGAAGTGCTTCCACGACAATACTCATGTTTGGTCTGCAACTCGCTTCGTATTGTAGACACATTGCAGCAACAGCAGCTAACTGCATTATCAACAACAAGTAGATTAAACAAAAAACATTTGAAATCATTAGCTAATGACTAGAAAACATTAGTTCAAGAAGATTAATTTGGGTTTATTATACCTTAGCAACAGATTTTGGATTGTAATCTCCTCCGAGTCTTGAATCGACGCACTGCGTAACCTTGTCTTCGCTTAGCTTCGGTGTAGCCTAATAAAAAAAAAAGACAGAGTTTTGATTGATCTTTGTAAAGACTAATGATGCAAGATTGTTCATCTTTTGAAAGAATTTAGTATTCATTACCCATGTGACTAAACTTTGCTGGCCTCGAGGCAATGTATGATCAACGGGCTTTCGACCTGTAAGAAGCTCGAGCAATACAACCCCGAAACTGTACACATCACTCTTGGAACTCAATTGTCCGGTCATTGCATATCTGGATCAATAGAAGAATAGCATATAACCAGTGATGAGCATTGAGCAATGATGAGAAAGAAGAAAAGGTTAAAAACAACTTACTCAGGGGCATGATAACCAAATGTTCCCAGAACACGAGTCGAATGAAGACGTGCTGCCATATCAGGAGCTTGATTCGAAAGATCATAGTCAGCGATTTTCGCTACATCATCATCAAAGATTAGAACATTGCTAGACCTTATGTCGCGGTGAATGATACGTGGATTCGCCTTTTCATGTAAGTACTCAAGCCCTTTTGCTGCTCCAACCGCGATCTTCACTCGTTGATGCCACGACAAGAGTGGACCAGGCTTTGATTCCTTCACACCTCTTCTACCTGAGGAACCATATGATATGTTATAACACCAAACAAAATCATTCTTTCAAAGAAAGTTAAAACACACAAATATGTTTTCATTGTACCATGAAGAATATCATGAAGAGATCCGTTTTTCGCAAACTCAAAGACAAGTATCCGCGAATTCCCATCAACAGAGTAACCAAGAAGCTCAACAAAGTTATCATGACTCAACCTCGAAACCATGGAAACCTGAGCAAGGAATTCGTCATCAGGCTGTTTGTTAGAATCTAACTTTTTAATAGCTGCAGGCTTATTATTATCCTTTAATACTCCGTAATACACTCTTGCGTACGATCCTTCACCGATGAGAGAATCCGATCCAAAATCATTCGTTGCTTCGATAAGTTCCTTAGCGAGAATAGCAGCTACTTCTATAGGCTGCACTTTCACAGATTGAGCACTCTTTTGTGAAGTTTCATAATCATATGCATTTCTCCTTCCATCATTTCCTTCACACACATCAATTACAGAACACAAATATGAAGAAACATCACTTTTGAATAATAAGAGAGACAATTGTATGACTTAGTTAAACTTAAAAAAAAAAAAAACACCTCCAGATTGTTTGGTCATATTATGGCCTCCATAATCAGCAGCTCCAAGCAATTTATCTTCACGGCAACAACCGAAACAGCTCATTGTTCTTGTTCCGTGTAAGATTTAATTCAAGATCACAACTGGAATAAGAATATATAAACACATTACACTGTAATTCAGAGCAAAAATATCCAGTTCATAAAGCCATATATCAAAGCTAAATCCTCGCAAGTTAAGTGAATAAAGAGTGACTTAAAATGTACAGAAACTAAACTACGATCCAAAATGTGAAGTCGAAGCTAGCAAAATATTCAAACTCGCTTCCATTTCAAAAGAAACGAATCCGAAAAATAATCGAAAAGCTTACCTTGATGATCCAAAGAAGAAACACAAAAACGAAGACGAAGGAAGAGATAAGTAGAACAGAGATTTTGAAGATCTAAAGAGAGTTGTATAAACAGAGAGCAATGTAAAAGGGAAAAATATCAAATTTTATTTTGGAAAGAAAATCGAACGATTTGGTGGGACCCACTTTCTTACTTAAGTCTTTGACTTTAAATGTCAGACGTGTTGACAGCGTCACTGTCGTCGGATACGAGTAGATACGACAAAACGGTAACATTTAATGGGCCTCTAATATGGGTCACTGAAACTAAGCCCATTAAGAGTACCATTAACCTTTTGTTAAATAGAGAGGTTTCAAGAGTATAATAACAAAAAAAAACCGCCATGTAAAACCGAAAAGTCGCAACCTTTTAAAACCATATAAAAGAAGTTAAAAAAACCCTCTGCTTTCTTACGAAAACACTAATATTTTCTATCTTGAACAAAAAAAAAAAGTAACAATGGATTCAAGAAGGAACCAAGACAGATTATCGAGTTTATCTGATATACTTCTGATTCTGATAATCTCATACTTGCCCTTCAAGGAAGCAGTGAAGACGAGTGTTCTCGCGAAGCGTTGGAAGAATCTTTACCGTGAAACGACCAACGTCTCTTTCAAAGAATCCGAGTTCGTGAAGTGCTCTGTTTTAGACGATGAAGACACCAAAAGAGACGCTAGGGTTTCGTTCGTTGACTATATGGTTGATTGGGTTTCTGGATTTCCCGGTCAAGTTGTCGAAAGATTCGAACTTTGTCTCTCCAAACCGGTGGGTTTCGAAACAGAGATCAATTCACTGATCGAATTCGCCGTCTCTAAAAAGGTCAAGAATCTTGTTCTTGATTTCTCTGACCCTTCTTGGATTACAAGTAATCAAGCAAGTGTGTTTCAATTACCGGAATGCGTTTACAATCTAGTGAATCTCGAGTCATTCAAGCTATTCGCTTGCGGGTTTGTTCCGTCGAGAGTTGTGAATTCCGGTTCGTTGAAAAGACTCTGTTTTGGTTGGATCCAACTCGGAAATATCGAGTCTTTGATACTTAAGTCTCATCTTCTCGAGAGTCTAACCATTCAAAATTGTTGGAACGTCGGTCTCGAGATGATAACCAGAGACAACAATCGGTTAATCGAATTGATATTCGAGAATTGCGATTTCGCCACGGAGTATTCTACACTCGACTTGTCCAACATTCAGATCTTTAAGTACTCTGGAAAAGTTCATTACTTTCAGTTCATGGAAGTGAATAAGAACATGAAAGAAGCGTACTTGGATTTTGGTGCAGCGGCTGAATACAACGACGCGACAGGAACACATCTCTCTGGTCTCCTTTACGATCTTAAATCGGCTAAGAAGTTAACGGTGTGTCCTTTTCTCACTCAGTTGATCAAAGATGGTGATGATCCGGTTCGGTTACAAGCACCTATGGAGACAAAACATTTGGTGATGAAAACGAATATGCAACCGAATGAGTTCGTTGGGATTAGACTCATGATCAATAGTTGTCCGTATTTGGAAACTCTCACGTTTGTTATGGTTCCTCCTAGGCCTGAGTACTCAACTACGGCTTTAGGGTTCGATCCAGACAAGTATTGGACGTTTAAAATCACGCACAAGTGTTTGAAGTCGACGCTAAAGGTCGTGGAGGTGAGGAGTTTCAGTGGCGGCTTGCGCGAGTGTCAAGTGTTGCAGTATCTGATTCGGTATGGTCGTGTCTTGGAGAGGGTTGACTTGTATTTGTCGAGTGAAATGGAAGAAGGTCAAAAGATTTTGGCACGTGCTGCAGCACACACGATTGTGACAAGGTTCGCGAAGGGTTCGAGTCGTTTAAGCATTTTACTACACGACGTTTGAAGAAAATGGTTAATCTTTCTTAATGGTTAATCTTTCAAAGATCCTCTTAATGTTGAAGGATCAATGTTTTTGTGTTTTTCGGTTTTTTGTTTGTCTTTTGAATAACGAAATATGTTACTGTGTTTGTATTCATACATTTGCAAAAAACCTTTGTTTTACTTTTAACTTGAAATAAAGAGATTCCTTTTAGTTATTACAGTTTTGTTTCCTTTTATAAAATCCCTCCAATAAAAAGAAGGATTTAAGCAGGAAACATACCAAAAAGTCCAC